TTTGGCATAAAACTCAAGGACTTTTTTCCAAGAAATAATGCATTAAAAAGAAAAATCAAAAGATTATTGATTGTAAATTAAACAATATGGTATTTCAAATATTTTTTCACTTTTTATCATATAGACACCACAAAAAAGAAACCAAATTTCACAATTTTACTTTTAACTAAATATCTAGGAGTTCATCTCTTAATAGCTGATATATTAATTTTAAAACGTTTCTAAATTATTATTGGAAACCAGAGTTGGGTTGTATGCGGATACTTTATATTTATTTGAAAGCAGTATCCGGGTGTCCGGTCATATATCGTACGACACCGCCGTATTTTGTACAGGCATATCTCAAATCCTATACATCACACTCGTCACTGATCATACTTTTATTTATTGGCAATTTTGTAATTTCCACCTCTATTTCATATTATCTTATTAACCCTTAACTGGTATGCTGGGGTCTCGCATGACCCCAAGCATTTAGAATCGTTAATGATTTTTCATTGTTTGGCAACATCGCCTTGTGCGACATCGCCTTGTTCTAGTTGATCCTTAGGAGCGGTACCGGTCTCATCTCATGTTTTAGAGATATTTACATTTGGGGTCGCCGCTGACCCCAATATGACAGTTACGTGTTTATTTTTTAGTTTGGAAATGGCGAATAAATATTTAACAGAGCAACAATTAAACGACTTAGCCGAAAACCAAAGTAACATAGGTAAACCTACTGAACCTATTGACAATTTTTGTGGTGAAACCAACGAGGATATTAGTGATACGCCAACTAAACTCCAAATTAACTGAGTTGGCTTTAAAATATGAAGGTAACCGCGTCTCCTATTTCGACCATCTAGATATAGTTGAACTGAGACTGGACGAGAAGACGTGACATCCCTGTTCTCAACAAATGGTACTGGTTGACCAATTTTTCAAGCAACAATGTCGCAAAAACGTTTTCTGTTTTTTCTAAGTGCAATTAGATTTGGTGACGCTACCAATTGGAAGGACTGAATTGCTGCTAGTGATAAACTGGCTGCAGTTTTAGAAATTTTTGAAATATTCGTAAAATCTGTCAAGTTAATTATTCATGCTCGCAGTATGCTACTGTCGATAAGATGTTAGTAGCCTTCTGAGGAAGATGTAGCTTTCGTATGTATATGAAAAGCAAACCTACCAAATATGGCTTGAAAATAATGTGCCTATATAATGTACCCACACCCTTGATGTACTAAAATTGGTACCACTAATTAAAAATACTAACAGAAATGAAACTGAAGATAACTGGTTTACATCCATTGATTTAATAAGTGAATTAAAAGTTCGAAAGCTCACTTATGTTGAAGCATTTACAAAAAGAAAAGGGAGATATCCGCTTAATTTCTGCCAAACAAAAATCTAAAAGTCGGTACCGCAGTATTCGGTTTTACTGAAGATCAAAAGCTAGTTTCTTACGTGCCTAAGAAAAATAGAGCTGTTATTTTAGTCTCTTCGGTGCATCACACGGATGATATTGCTCCAGTCACTCAAAAACCTGAATAATTGAGTTTTATTACACAACAAAAGGTGGTGTAGACAGCTTGGGCCAGAAATGTGCAAGCTACTCATATAACCGAAGAACTCGTAGATGATCACTGGCTGTTTTATACGCAATTCTGAACATAGCTAGGATAAATTTATAAGGTAATTTTAAAGGAGTTAACCCAAACTCAAAAATGAAAAGAAGAGAACATGGAATATCTCTGGGAAAAGAACCAGGCGCGAATACAAGAAGGGTAATAAGGTAATTACCCCCCCCCCCGAGCTGCTCAAACAAATCCAGGAATTTATTAAATTGTAATCTAAAAACGACGAGATTTTACGAGAAAGCAAAAAAAACAAGATGACGGAGACGAATGAAGAATAGAGAAGCACAGGCTGGCGTACAGTATTTTTTGTTATTTTTTCAATAAACGAATGATTCTTTGATAAAATTATCTACCCCCCCCCCCCCCCGAAAAATCTTCCCAGATCCGCGCCTGAAAGGAACTCATTCATGACCACCTATTAAATATATAGACTGAAAAACAACTTCCAAGAAAATTGCACCTCAAAATCACTGATATACTGAGTATGCCAATGCCAGCAGAAGAGAATAATAGTAATAAACAACAGTTGAAAAGACAAAGATTTATCATGTGTCCAAGATAAAAAAATGTAAAACATTCAACAAGGCCAAAGTTTTGTATGCAAACACCACTATACAAATACGATAGAATGTACATCCTGCAATAACAATAATTCATTGTAAGGTATAACATACCTGTCAATTTTGACATGTAAAATTAAGAAGCATTTTTTTGTTCCAGAGGGCCGACTGAAGTTTAGACAAAATGATGTTATCGCTACGGATCCTGTTTGGCCATAAATGTTTTGACATGTAAAATTAAAATGCAATTCTTGATTTTAGAGGGTCGACTAAAGGGTATACGAAAGGATATTATCTCCAAGTCAAAACTAAGTAGATGTCAAAAACAACACATTTTTTAAAGATAATTACGTATAAGGCCCAGTTGTACCATTTGAGTTCAGGCTAGGTTCAACTAAACTTGGTTTTGATTGTGACATTTGGGTATTGTTAGTACGATGTTTGTCACAGTCTAAACTAAGTTCACTTGAACCTCCCTCAAACTGGAGTGGTACAACTGGGCCTAAGAGTGTTTTTATATCTATGTCGCTTCTTTATATTCCAAAAAATATAGAAATATTTAAACAATTGCAGTTTTTTTTTAATCCTCTATTAAATAAAATTGGTGTCACCTATGAGCTTAGAATACCAGTTAAGTTTCAAATTGCTTGCGTGCCATTTAAGGGTTAAAATCCTTGCTTAAATAAATAAAATAAAATGCTTTCACTACTTATAACCTAAAAATACTTATGTAACTACCTTTTAAATATCCCCGTATAATTGGAAATAAAATAATGTGTTTTTTAATAAAACAATATATAAGATTCAATTTCAATACTCCTAAAGTGACGGATAAATTCATTTGCAACCGTATTAATGATTTGAAGAAAAACTCCTGAAAGAAGTCTATTTTTAATTTTAAATCTTTGACGTAAAAACTTTTGCCATTAGGATACCCCTCACGGTGGGGGGTAATTACCCCTTTTATTTTTTTAAATAAAATAAGCAGGCATGTGATACCTAATATCGAAGGGATTTTATTTCTCTATTCAAAAACCTAGTAGGTTGTAATTTTTAGATATTACATATCAAAAAATGCTTTTAAAATGCTAAATCCAATTCAAAATGTTTATCATAACTTTAAACGAAAATAACTTAAAACTAGGATTTGCATAAAATTGTTTCAAGTAACCCCCCTAGAAAACAAGCCATCTAAGCCCATTTTAAACAAAAAATTAAATAATATTTTTGAGGTGTAAGTAAAAAGGAACATATTTTTGAATCTAATAAGTTGAATCAAATAAATTTTAGAAATTTATCATTGTTTTACAAATGTATTACATTCATTTTATTATTTTTAACAAGAGCCTTTCTGAGACACAAAGAATTGATATCTAAATATTAATCGAAGTTAGTGATAAAATAAGAACACATGTAGAACCTTTAACAATAAACATCCTGACCATCATGATTCTCAGTCTACAATGAGTAGAGTAGAACAAAAAATCGACCGATATGGAACAGTTATATATTAAATTTTGATGATCATACACATAAACCTAACACTTAAGTTGCAGCTGACTAATGTAAGGAAAACCATTATACATGTTTTGAAAAAAGAAAAATACTGCCCATATAAAATTCAATAGATGTAGGAACTAAATGAAGATGATCTTGACCGTCGATTGGAATTTTGCGAAACCATGATAAATAGATGTCAACAAAATACGGTATTTTGAAAAAATATTTATTGTACATGGAAATTGTTACAAGCCAAATTGTCGGTATTTGAGTAGACAAAATTCACACGGGAAGGTGAAAGGCCGCACTCAATATTCTGTTAAATTAAACCTTTGGGCTGGAATATTAAACGATCGAATTGTCGGGCCTTATTTTTTTGACGATACATTGACTAGGGAAGCGTTATTTAGATTTTTAGCTGGTTATTTAAACAGCTATTATTTATAATTGTTGTTCTGTTTTGGTACAACATGTAAAATTTAAAATGTTGTGGAAATCATTCTGAACTAAAGCATTGCTGTGAACGTCATCGCCAAAGATGAATTCGACGATTCACCCAATATATAGATGGTATGGATTCAGCATAGACATGTTTTTACAGGAAAAATCCTATATGGTCTTGTCTACTACTAAGGTCTCGAATTTGTGGAAGCTTCTAGCTCATTTAGGTTTAATTTTAGTTAAGATTTTGGTTTGGTTTTTTGACTAGTTTTTTGTTCCTGTTTTAATTATATCTCTTTCTATTTTCAATATAAAATGCTGCCAATATCAAACCTATGATTGTGCTTTGTTTGTGTTAAAGTAAATATAAGAAGATTTCACATGTGCAGGATAGGAAAAGATGTGTTACTGATGTTGCGCGTTACCGATAGGTAGCAAGTTACCGTCCTGTAAATGGCAGCATTGATACTGTGTCACATCTTTTCCTGCATCTGCGAGCCCCATTTAATGTTTATTTGCATCCGATTATATTTTTAGATGAAAGTATGAGTACTATTTTAATAGGTATGCGGATACACTGTTAGTACCCGGATACATTTACCTGGATCCAACCCAACTCTGTTATTTAAATAACCTTGTGTATGTGTGGTTTACGAACTCTCAAAAAATATCGTCAAAATATTATTAAATTTAAAAAATAAAGAATTAAGAAAATGCTGAAGTACAATATTTACTTAAATTGAGTGTTATAGGTATCTGAAGCAGAAATAATAACGCACTGGGTTTGTTGTATATCATCTCATTAGGGTAACAAAAACCCTACCTCTATGAATCAACGTAGTCGCATCTTGAATCATTCTCTAATCTACGTTTTAAGTATTTACCTATTTAGCACTAGCAACAGACTCACTACCATCTCAAAAGCTCGTGGTAGTGAGTCTGCTACTAGTTAAATCTACTCAAAGACTTGATCCGAATTCAGAACACCTCCGATCGACGTGCTTCAGATAGGTTTCCGAGTACACGCTTCTCGTTCTGTCTTCATATCTAATGGAAGGTCTTCTCGGATCTATGTAATCCAAATCAGACGGCGGCCTCTTGCAGAGGCTGCAAAACGCGCACTGCAAGGTGTTCTTGAAAGCCTCTCGGAAGTCTCGATTGAAGTAGGCGTAGATGATGGGGTTTAATGTAGAGTTAAAGTAGCCGATCCAGAACATCACGGCTACCACTTCTTTAGGACAGTTTTCGCGACAAGAATCACAGAGATACACTATATCGTACCACAGAAAAAACGGTAACCAACACAGGATGAAAGTTCCCATGATTATCCCCAAAGTCCTAGCCGCTTTATGTTCACGCTTCATTTTCGAAAGGTTTCTTTCTTTTGTCGGGGTATGGTGTAGATCCTGGTTAATATCATGAGCCGTTAGAGTCTTTGAGGATCCACCCGAATTGGATAACATATCACCGTTGGTGTTGTTTTGATGCAGCAGCAAGGCAGCGCCATGCCTGTTGAACATCTCGCGCTCCTGTCTGTTGGCTTCTCTAAATATCGCTAGATACATAAAGATCATGATTGAACACGGGATCCAGAAGGATATACTGCTGCTGATAACAGCGTACGGTTTATTTACAATAAATTCACATATATCCGGATGACGATTTCTGAAAGCTTGGTTCTCCGGCGTGGTATACCAACCTTTAAATATTGGAAGGAAGCTTATGATAGCGGGGCTGATCCAAGTATTTAAGATCATGAACGCCACAACGTTTTTAGTCATTGTTAAAGGATATTTTAGGGGTTTCACTATAGCGTAATATCGATCGACACTGATGCAGCACAGATGCAGGATTGAAGACGTTGAAAAATAGACATCTAAAGAGTTCCAAACATCGCACATAAAGTACCCGAACTTCCATTCATCATAGATTTGTACACTGGCATTAAAAGTCATCGCGAACATAGCAACCAGCATGTCCGCTAAAGCTAATGATATTACATAGTAATTAGTGATGACGCGCAGCTTTCTGTGTCTCATTACAGACACGATAACCAAAAGGTTACCGAAAATGGAAGCGATGATGATTGAGCCCATGATTGTTGCCTTCACAGCCAGAACGAAGTCGTCCGTCCATTCTGTCGATTTTATTGCATTGTCCGAATCGTTGGCAGATGTGAAATTTATGCTGTCCCCCATGTTTTAATTGTTTCGTTTCAGTCCAAATAGTTGCAGGTGCACTGCTCTCTAACTAGTGCGTGAATCTGTCCACGGGGATGCATCCTTCATGTTGTTGTGTAGTTGCGGTCAGTTTTTATACCCGATTGAAGTCTCCTCGGCGATTCATTTGAGCGATTGGACTCGGCGGACGCTGCAACAAAGAAAAATATCGGTTAACGGTTTTCAATTAAATTACGATAAAAAATTAAAGTAAAATTGGAATTCGTTTAAAAAATACTCATTCTGAATGTTTGAACAAAAGCGATTAACAATACGCAAAATCTGGTCGATTTGAGCTCACATTTTTTTTATTTATTTAATTCGAGCAATGGTTCAAGACCAGTTAGAGGCAAGGAGAGTTACAATACAGAGTGTTATTGAAATCCATGTACATATTAAAAGTTACTAAAGTGCATGATGTGCAAAAATTATGCATCAAATTTAAATCAGGATTGACCAAACCCATTTAACATGTTAATTTGTTCATGTGTCGTGGGTAACGAACCATATTATGTTTCATTGTGTTATGTATGCGTTTGTAGATGGTTTGCAGGTAATGTTATATTTCACCGAAATAATTAGACAAAATATCAGCCTAAAATGAAAATTTTTAGTACATCAAAGAGATTCAGATATTAATGAAGGTTCTGATTTCTTTTCACCAAATTTCATTATGCTCAGAGATAAAAATGATCAGAAGGATATACATATATAAATTGTTTGGCGTTTTTTCCTAGTTTTTGTTATTTTACTCAAAAATTACAAAACTTTTTTTAAAGAACAATTTTCTATCGATTGGTCCTTATACATTTTTGCCAAACTTTATATTTTTGCCGCTAGAACGCGCTAAAAGAAACAATTGTATATATTTTGCAGATTTACGCATTTTACATGAAAACCATTTACTTTGATGGAAAATTAAGTAAAGTTGTAAAATGGAAAATTCATCGTTTTCGCTGCTACAGCACATGCGCGGAAAATAAATAAAATAAAATGAATATGTTTACTTAAATTCCACATTTCATAAAGTTGTAACTACATTTTTTAACCAAGCGGACAGTTTTGACAATAAATTGAATGATCATTTATTGAAAAAACGGGTCACACTTTCTACGCATGCGCTGTAACAGCTGAAACGATGGGTTTCTAGAAAAACTATTTCATATTTTTAATAGGAAATTTTTCGATCTACAACTTTGTTCTTATGAAATATTCCACCAAATTTCGTAGTTTTTATGTAAAATGCCAAAACCGCAAAATATATACATTTGTTTCTTTTAAAAAAATGTATAGGGACAATATCGATAGAAAATCATTAGTTTTTCAAAAAAAGGCCAGTAAATTTTTTCACTAAAACGGGTAGAATAAAAATAACTGGAAAAAAAAAGTCGAAAAATGTATACATATACAGTTTATTCATTTTAAATATTTAAATACAATAATTTATAAATTTTGTTGATTTCATTTAATATCCTCCAACTCAGTCCGTGCCTAGACAAGATTTTCCTGTTTGCACTAAAATAATTTGAGGATATTTTATTAATTGTACATAAGAGTTAGAAATTAGGTTGGTGTTTTTAACTTTAGAATTTTGCTTTATGGTAAAACCTTAAAACTTATATAGTCAGGAAGGAGCATGCCATGTCCGCGTTAATCTAATCGATGTGACGGAAGTAGTAGCCATGTTGTATTATGGATGATTCATCATTATATGATAAATGGTTTCTACAATTGGTTTATAATTTTAGTGATTAAAATTTGTTAATAATTTGGATGTTTTATGTGTTAATTTAAACTTTTATCAAGCGTATATTTTGTAGAAATTTTTAAAAAGTGTTTAGTGTTTTATTATTTATTTAGTATTACTGTTAATTTTAAATTTTCCGCGTTAAAAGACAAGCAAGATAATATGGTCAGTTGTTCGTCTTGTAGATATAGCAGCACAGCTAAAAGTAGAAAGAAATAATCTACATTTCTTAAGCAAGTATTTTGTTCTCTCAATTTTCAACCACATTAAAGATTTTTTAATTTTTTAATGTTTTAAATTTGTAAACAAACATGGTAAGTGCGTCTGCGATCAACTGTGTTCATAGGCTTAGTCTCATGGTTTATAGGTTAACATACTTTTATTTAAACAATTATTTTATGCAATTTGAAGATATTATTGTAGTTAAAATTAATAAATTATTGTTCAATTTAGATTTATAAATTAATTGTAAGTAAACAATTTTCAGATTTCCTAAAGATTCTCAAAAAGCAAAGTTATGGCTTGAGTTCATGCAACAAACAAATTGTGAACCAAAATATCTGAATTTTTTATGTTCACGCCGTTTTAAAGTAAATTGTCTTGATCGAACCTCAAAACAAAGAATAAGACTTCTACCAACAGCTGTTCCAACATTAAAAGTGGTTCGGTTGAAGTATATAAGTAAATAAATTCTTTACTAACTATATCATGTGCCGTTTTTTTTCGTATAAAAGAAGTTTATTGTATGAATGTGATGCACCCTATATAATTTATTACAAAGTTGTTCACAAAAACGAACACACATAGAATTAATAATATCTCAAGTAAGGAAATAAGTAGCATATCGCATGCCTCAAGATACTGTCTTAGGTCCTATCTTGTTTAATTTTATTTTAAATAATTTGTGGTTTAAATACAGATGGAACTATTGTTAGTTTTTCAGACGACACAGTTATTCTGTAAAATGCAGAGAACTGCAGTTGATTAAAATTATTAATAGAAACAGATCTTATAAAAATTTTCGAATGGTTTGATTATAAAAACTTACAAACCTTTGACATAACTTATGTTGTTCCTTTATACAGTTACAAAAAGATGGCCTCTTTCTATAGAAACAATAAAAGGTAACGTTCAGTAGTTTCATATAAGTATTACAAATGATATGAAATACCGTAGAGTACAAATTGACTCTCATCATAACTGGACTAAGCATACAAATAATGTGTTGAATGTACATTTAAAAATAATCTATTTTGCAATCATATAATCATTATTACGTTATAGGATCCTTTCTTGAAAAGTTTTACCTCCTCATGCAAAATTGTCCTGCAAAAAATATTACTAATAATATTATGTAATAAAATGATCAGAAATTCTCTTCAAAATTAGAAAGTTTTATATGTACTCCAACAAAAACATGTAAGAAAGAAATATCGCAGCGTTGTTTGATCTAAATATAAGTATAGGATATTAAATTTTTTTTAACGCATATCTACAAAACATATTTATTTTTCAAACCTTAATAATTTGTAAAATGTAAATTAATAAAGACATTGTCATAATAAAGACGTAAAAAGTCAATTTTTTTTTTAATACATTATTGCTTTGATTTTTCAAATAAAATTATATAAATTATCCCAAAAATATTTTCCAATATTTATCCCACCCAACATGCAATTTTAAAGTAAAATGTATTTACATAATAAAGAATAATGCAAACTTCTCGCAAGAAAATAGCAATTTGTTAAAATGAGAGAAATCGTTAAATTTAGATAATATGCAAATGAGAATTTATTATTTTCTTTTCTACGCCCCTTTATGACAGTACGTCTCTGGTAGACCGGAAACACTTGTCGCCATATTCGTCTAATTCACTGTTAAAATTAAATACCATCGCGATTCCAAGGTCTTTTAATATTCCTCCTTCCTGACTATATGTATTCTAAGGGTAAAACAGAGAAACTGCAATATTCAATAAAAGTATCATGGTGGTATGAAAAAAATGAGTCTGATGGTGGTATTGATATAATTTATAGGTTTATTTAAAAATAATGCCATTTAATGCTTTATTTCCATAAATAATTGTAAGTGAGCAGTTATATAGTTTCTTATATATTTTTTAAATTTAAACAAGGACAAGTCTCACAGATGACAACATCCGTGCCGTTCGAGAGCTTGTTGAAGGCGATCGCCGGTTAACAGTTGAAGAAATTTCGTCAGAAGTAGGTATCAGCTATGGGAGTGCTCAATTCATTATCACTGATCATCTCGGCTTCAGAAAAATTAGTGCTCGATGAGTTCCAAGGTTACTGACCGAAAATCAAAAACAGGTCAGGTCGGAGATCAGACTTCTGAATCGATTTCGACAAGAAGCGGAGGATTTTCTGAGACGCATCGTCACATGTGATGAGACATGGGTCCACCATTACACTCCTGAGTCAAAAATAGCGAGTAAGGAGTGGCGAAGAAAGGATGAAGCCTGCCCAGTGAAGGCCAAAACCCGTCTCTCAGCCGGAAAACTTTTGGCGACGGTTTTCTTTGACTCGAGGGGAGTTTTACTTGTTGATTTTTTTCAAGATCAACGAACAGTTATTGCGGTTTACTATTGCCAGTTGTTAGAGTCGACAAAAATCGCCTATCGAAACAAAAGACAGGGTATGCCCATTAGAGAGACCATCCTTCTTCACGACAACGCGAGACCTCACACCGCGGTTTTGACAAGGTATAAACTGGAAGTACTGGGCTGGGAAACTCTTGAACACCCTCCCTATAGTCCAGACTTGTTCCCCTGTGATTATTTTTTGTTTGGACCCTTGAAAGAATCACTCGGAGGAAAAAGATTTGAAAGCAATGAAGAAGTCGAAGAGTACGTGCGTAATTGGCTGACAACTCGCCCTCAAACTTTTTACGAAGAAGTAATATTCAAACTCCCAAAACGGTGGCAAAAGTATGTAGAGCATGGAGGTAACTACGTTAAGAAATGTATAATGTTTTGTTTGTGTATAACATTAATCAATAAATGTATTTAAAAAAATTAACGTTTATATTTGATTCACCCTCGTATAAAACTTTGGGCCAAGAAAAAAGCGATGATTGTGTTACAGTTTTTTTAAAGAGTGAGATATTTATGTCCAGATTTGCTAATGAGCATGTTAATCTGTTGTCTTTATAGTTAAATTTGATGAGGTTGTTATATATGTTTAGAATACAGTTATAGATATAAAGTGTCTTA